AAGACAACACACCTGCACCACTTCCTCGATGTTTCTCGGGGTGACGAGGTCCATGGCCACCTCCAGGGTCTTGCGGCAGATGTCCACGTTGGGGCTTGAGAGCGCCCGCAGGATGTCCATCAGCACCTCCTGGAGCACCTTGGTGTGGTGCTTCTTGAGTGCCGCGAGGCGCTCGAGCACGATGAGCTTCACGTTGTTATCGCTCTGGGTGTTGACCAGCTGAGCGTACGTTGTTGCCGCCTGGGGTTTTCACGCGTGTTAACAAAACATGGTTTGCAGCCTTGGACAACGATGATGATGACAGCGGCGGCGACCCAACAATTCGGCTGTTGGATGTCTTGGATGCCAGCGATCGGACACAATCAATACACGCTCGTTTCTTGCCAAGCGACACCGAGCGCAGTGGTGCCCCGGTTAAGGAACTGGAAGTCCATCGTCGTGATCACTTCTCAGTCTGTCTGTCTGTCTGTCTGTCTGTCTGTCTGTCTGTCTGTCTGTCTTTGTCTCTCTCTCTCTCCCCCCCCCTCTCTCCGTCTCCACCCCTCCCTTCCTCCCCATCCTTATCTCCCTGTTTCCCTCTCTCCTCCCTTCTCTCACCGCCCGGATGGCAGTGGGGGCTCCGCTAAGGCTGACGAGGGTCCAGGCAGCCTCGTAGGATACGGCGGCGGAGCGACTCTGGAGCATGGACAGCAGCACCCGCACGAACCGAGACTTCTGGCTAGGGTCTCGCCGGCACACCTGCCAAGCCAACGACAAACGAAACAAGGAAACAAAGAAAACGATGACGTCGGGGCAACACGGAAATCGTGAACTAAGGTTTGACGTGCGCATACCTCACAATCAATCCACCTCCCGTCGTCCAAAGAACACATTTTGCGCAAGAGTTCCCAAGACCAACAAAAAAAACTTGGGGGGAAATTTACGTGAAAAGAAGGCGATTGGTCCCGAAATAAGACCTATCGGAAACGGCATCAAAACCCGCTTCTCACCACTTGAACACAAAAAAAACAAGACAACCGACTTTTCTGCACCAAAAAACGCCGGATCGTTCTCCGCGCCGACGACGCACTCTCCCTCACCTTCCGGCAAAGCTCCAGCACCAGCAAGGCGAAGCCGTCGCCGAACTTCGGAACCTGAACAGTGGCGACAACACACAATTAGAGGAGAAGCGGCGTTGCAGCGCAAGGAGAGACATGCCGGTGAGACTCTTCGACCCTCGGCATGTTCCTTCGCTGGTAGAAGGGATTCGACCGTTGGAAGTGTTGCTGCTGGTGGTACTTGGATGTGTTTACTATGCTGTGCATCGCACGGTGGTCTGCAAGCACACGCGTTCGTTTGAAAAACTCGTGTTTTCTTCTCGCATGAATTGCTCCGCCAGTACGCGCTCTCCCCAAAAGTGTCCAGTAGGGGGTATGCGAGATACCTTCGTAGCCCTGGTCCTAAAAATAATGATGCATGTAAATTTTTCATTATTCCGTCGACGACAATAATCTTTCTCGCGACATGAAAAAACGGCCCATCCTCGCAGATGGAGTGCTTCGCCAGCCGGCAAGAGCCGACGAGACGGCTTCAACGCCGCCGTTTTCGGTGCTGCCACTTGTTCTGCTGTGAAGTGATCGAGCTTTTGGAGAGTCGTGCCAGGGGTGTCGTATCTTACGTCACCTACGCTAATCGACCTCCGCCGCGGGCACTCACGTCCTCCATGTGGTTGTTCAAGAAATCGATGGCCAGCTCCTCGGACTCGTTGTACAAGAACAGGAAGGCGCTGCGCCTGGCGGAGGTATCCCCCTCGGCGGCGATGAAACGCTCGATGAGTTCCGGTCCGTCGGGGAGAAGCTGCGCCCGTCACAAAATGCGGCCGCATAGAAATCGGTTCAAAAGTCGCCGAAATAGACTAGGGACGAGAGAAATATGCCTCGCTGCACCGAAACCTCGGTGACCGGCATTGCACGAATGTATCAGAAGCTTCAGCGCGACGTACGCCGCAGGCGATTAAGTGCAAACGTCGCCTTCGTTCGGCGACAGATAGATGCTGCATCCAAATACCGTTAATACGAGACGAGCAACACGCTCGCTGTCCGAAGTACGCCACCACCGAAAAAAAACACGGGGATAAAATTACCGGATTCGTGACGGTAGGAAGCTTCGGTCTAGACGGCTCAAAACAAGAACGCGTCCAGCGGTGACGTCAGTCTCATACCAGTGCTGCCATGCGCTCGGTTTCGACAAAACATCACCTCCCTCCCTCCCTCCCTCCCCGCGCACTAGCCTAGACGCCGTGACCCTCTTGGTTACCTGTTGCCCAAAGTTCTTGTGGACGTAGTAGCACAGCAGCGCGGCGTTGCGGCGAACGTAGCTGTGGCGGTGTTCCAAGCAAAGCTGAGAAGCGCACGCGGGCAGTGGCAGGGCGAACAATGCGTTTTGTGTGTCGGGGTTAATCAGCAAGCCCTTATCATACAAGACAGCAGCTCTGCACGGCTTCAGGGCAGGGGGGTAATGCGAGGAAGGAAACAGCAAATACGAAGAAAACGCCACCAATCATTTGAACTCCCACAACATCAACACAGCAACACACGAAAAACGCATCCCCCCGTAAGGACATGGAGCATGGAGGCCAAGGGCAGGGCGCTTGCAGCAAAAAGACGGCCGACGGGGTGGCGGCAATAACCAATCGAAGCACGGAGAGGCCACCTTACCGCCATGGTTCGCCGGGATCTTGGAGTCTTGGCACGTCAGCTGTGCGAGCTGTTTGGAGTCAGCTTTTCGAGCGTCCATTTTCATCTCACATCACCCTCTTTTGAGACATTTCTGTCAGTGCTCTTCATGAGCCCACTCCAAAGGACACCCTTTTAAGCAACCTACAACCACAACAACAACGAACGAACGAACACATCGCACGAGAAAAAAAGACCTGCCCACCTTTACGGTCGGGATAAGAGGCTCCAGGAGCTCCGGCTCGCGGAGCTTGCACAGGAACCGCAGCGTGCACCCGCGGACGTACTCGTTGGGGTGGTTCAAGTCGTTGCGCAGGGCATTACAAACCTGGGTTGTTTCACAAGGGGGAGGGGCAGGAGGGGCGACGAGCACGAAACGTTAGGGCGGGCGATGGAAATTTTTCCGAAAACTGGGCGGAAGGTGCGAGGTGATCCACAATCCCACACCCAAATTCTTTCGGTGTCCCGCGTTCTGCCAGCAAACATTGCTGCTGTCCTGTTATGTGTGCATTAGGACCAGAGGATTGTCGGTCCCGGTCTGGTCGCCATCACGACACGATACACAAAAAAACGAAGGACCGAAACTCCCGGGGATCATCATAACGGCATGGGTTTACAGCTCATGGGGCCCACTCCATCACGCGCAAAGCGTAGCGGCAGCATTCCAGCAGGAGCGTTGCTGTGACTCCTCTCATGGTACACCGTTTGTTTCAGCCTCATCAACACAAGCTTAGTGTCGGAACTACCCCTGAGGGGGGGAAATGGATGCAACACTGAACCGCAACTTCGGACGAGCAAAAACAAACAAGGTGCCGGAAAACACCTGTATCAGTAGATAAACGTACCAGGATCATCTCCGGCAGGAGTTTCCCCTCTGCGTCGTACTTCTTCACAACTTCCCAGTACATCATAACCAGCTTCTTCAGCTCCTTGCTGTCGTCCTTCAAGCACCCCTTGATGACCGACATCAGCAACCTTTTTTCCGCGCAAGACGCAACAAGTCCAGAGGGCGCGCGATTAAAGGGAAAGAGGACACAGAGAAGAAAATATTCAGGGAACGTGAGAACCGAGGCAATCCACCACAGAGCAAGGATTTCGGGTCAACAGCAGCTTGCTTCGTCGTTTTGAGGCCCCCCTTCATAGACAAAACGAACCCTGTTCGATTTGTCGACGACGTGGGCTTGAACGTGCGCTTACCTGGGCATTGTCTCGCCCGACAGCAACAGCAGGATGGCCTGCTTGATACCGGTCACCTTCCCCGAGATATTCGGCTGCTCCAGGTTCTTGATGATGTCATCCTGCGATTCGTTCAGTTGTTCGGTGACGGGGCCGTTCGTGTCATTCTCAACACATGATGCGACAGGGAGTTACGTGCTTGCGTGCGAGCTTAACCGCGCTAACTGGCTGACCATTGAAAAAATAAGTCAGCGTTTACACAGCGGGCGAAAAAACGCAAACAAGCTTTCCAGTCAAAGGGTTCTACCGACAGAGACACGGCGAGAGTTGGACGACAATCTCCTGCTTCGGAAGAACAACGAAAAGACCAATAACCTTGCTGCTGCATTCACCTGTGTGTGGGTCTGTTTTCCAAAGGCCTACGAAGGGGTGCGGCAAGTTTCTGTTGGGGAATATATGTCATGCCGCCTACTGGTGCAACAAGTCTGCTCTAAGACTCTAGGCACTTTCAACACATGTTACCCACAGCAGACATTGTCGCGCACGTCCGCGGTATGTTTGTCATACGTGGTTGAAACGAACACTTCGGACAGGCCGTGCAGCATGAGGTCAGATACCCCGAAACGGAGAATTACAAGAGCTTCTCGATCACTATTCCGCGCGCGTGTCAAACGCTAGCAAATCGCAGGTTCGTACTTGATCATTGTGTCACGGCAAGCTTCGACATGAAAAAGAGAAAACGCGCCGAATAGGCGGACAAGAGGCACCAGAGCACGGCGTCATCACTCACGAGCCACCTCGACCTAACTGACGCACCAGATGTACGACAACCCGGGGCTCAACATACTATATCACGCTGGATACGTCGCCAACAACGAGGATGCCAACCACCTAGAAGCCAAGCTTGCGTCTTTGGAAAGCTCTCGACCATAATCTCGCAACGTCGCTCTTTTGGACACGAGCTACTCAATGCTTAGCGGCGTCAAGCGGTGAACATCAGGTGCGTTAGGTAGTCATATGCGTTTACTCTTGTCTCAGCAGCTGTGGGGGGCTTGGCGTTTGTACAAATCCTTGACTGTTTTTCGGCAGGGGCGTTTGAGATCTCCGGAGACTGCGCGCGCATCCTCGCGGGTTTCCACTTCCCCTCTGCACCCCCCCCCCCTCGGGGTGGGTTTTCGTCGCTTGGCAACGACGTTGTCAAGCAAGCCAATTCACTTCGTGAACTCGGCAACCAGGTTACCGTTTTTTTTTTTTCTCTGTGTTTTTAGGCGGTAACCATAATGGTGGTCGAGTAGATCATGTTTTGCGGGGTGGAGAAGCCTCACTCCGCGCAAGGGGGATGATCGCACCACGTTGTGTTAAAATGGTCAAGCACCCTCGAGGCAGTTACACAGTGCTTACAACTGTCTCTGGAAGTGAAAGCACCAGAAANAAAAGCCATACGCAGCTGTCATCCGCACGCAAGGAAGTAAGTACAAGATGCCGAACACCCTTAACAGGATGCAGCGCACCGTTCATGCGACTCGCCGAATACCTCACGGCGCTTCGCGCTTGGTGATGTGAGAGCCTGGTCCGATGAGAACCCGGCGTGCTCCGTCCCGGCTTTGTAGGGATGCGAGGTCAATGGTCTAACGACTGCGGCATGCGCGACTATGAGTACACCCCCTCTGCAACAAATAAAGAGTTGCATGCAGTAATTAGAAAACATGAACACTCGACATGAGAAGACTGATAATGGCCGAGACGCAGCCGGAGGGAAGAAAGGGTACATTGCTCGCCGGTCGCAGCACAGACATCATGCATTGTTGGGAGACCCTCGTTTATGTTTCAATGGTCTCTGTCGGCGAACGAGCGAAGTAGCCCAGGTTACACCCGTCAACCAACAACACGCAGGAGGGAAGACCATTTCAGCCGACCCAGAATAAACGCTGTAGCGGAGCAGCTGCTCAGGGTGTCACAGACGTAATTGGCAGTAGCTCCGTGTGCGTCATGTCGCAAAGATGAACGTGTGCAGTTAGTGGATTGGGGGTATTTGATCTGCCCGTGCTGGGACGAGCCAGCGAAACATATTCCTCAGCACGATCGTTCAGTACGTCGCAAATAGCTTCGCAACAGGGTTCATGTCACCATTTGGTGCGGACAATTGCTTGCCCCAGCCCTTCGTCCGATACGTAGCGCTAGGGTTTTCACAGGGGACTGCGGTGTTCGCGAATGCGGCTCAGTGAGGAGTCATGCACCATTGACTAGGCAGCGGATAGAGACTGTCGGCGCACCGACCTGCCACTTGTTGCGGGCAGATTCAAGCCGAGCGAAGGAATGCACGGCAATTTTTTCGTGTTGCACGGCGAGAGTCTCTCAGCACTGCATCGTGCTATGTGTTGCATGTGTGTGTGTTTTCTTCCCATCCCTTCTGGCGTAAATCTACCAGCTGTCAGCGTAGAGTGATACTTGACGTGAACACGTGAAAAGAGGAATGTTTACGACGGGGAATGTCCTGCTTTTGTGTCTTACGCACTGGTATAGTGTCGGTGGTCGGTGGTCGTGTGGGTGGAAGCCGACGAAAAACACGCGGGCACAAAGAAAAAACTGAGGAAGCACGACTTGTATGTCGCAGTTGCTCCATGAGTGATGATCCTCACCAGCACCAGCACAGACTGCCTAAATGAAGCAAGGGGAGGTTTGTGGCGTAGACACCCACCGAGGTTTGAAGAGGAAACGACGGGGGGGACTCTGTGGCACTGAAAATCTGAGGCAAACCTTGGTCGGGAGAATTGGGTGTACGTGTGAAACGCGGAAAAACCTACAGGTACAATGCGCGCGCGATTGTTGCATGCGACAGTGCAGAAGGTCGCCATTGCGAGTGACACGGCGAGGGGTCTAACTGCGGTATGAGTTCTTTTGGCGCTGCCCGCCGCCTGCGGAGGGCCTGCTTTGACCGCCGGTGCGGTGTGTGTGAGATTCTGATTGGAAGAACAAACACTTTCTAGCCAACATTACCGTCCCTGTCTCTGCCCACCCCGGAATCAGAGTGCACAGAGTACTTTGCGTCATCCCGGTTTACCAACACAAGCGTCCTTGCCGTGCTACCTGGGAAATAAGAGCAGACCAACTTTGTTCCGCGTTGTCAAACACAAGCATTGCCACACCCATCGAGCAATACATGGCACCCTGGCGGCGCATCACAGAGGAGGTCAGAAGCTAACCGATACCCTGTCCACGGACAACAACAAAACTCGACAGGGTGCAAAAAAAGCAAAGGTCAAAGGCGAATGGAGTTTTCTCTGTGAGCGTACCTGTTGCATGGACTGCAAGCCGTCGCTATTGAAGAGAATCGTGCAATGCTGCTCGGTCACCGCCATGGCTACCCCCCGCCGCTCCCTCCCTTCCCGGAGTCACGGAGAGACTAAAGGCTCGGAAAAGGAAGCTTGCGAAATTGCTCCAGACACGCTTCCAACAAAAGCCTTTCCCTCGGTCCTCCAATCGACCTTGGACCCAGCGCGCACTGCCTTTCGTTCCCCGGTCAGTCCCTCTGCCAATGCTCTGCGGTCTCGGTAACGCCTGACCCTGCTGCTCTAGTCTCGCGTTGGACAAGGGGGGCTCCGTGGATAATCGTGGGGGCTCATAAAAAACAGGGGGCAATGGTATTGCATCCCCGGTCCGAAATCATAGATGAAGACGCCTTCTGGTGTGGTTTGAAACTTGCCTTTGTCCCTCGCTCTTGCTCTCCACACTTGACTTGATCTTGAGTTGTAGACACGCAAAAATGAGGCGCCGCAAGAAGGACAAAGCCCTGGAGAAGGGGGGCGCTGTCTCCTCTGCCGATAACGACACGATGGACTCTTCGGGAAAGGGAAGAAGCTCCAGCAGCAACAGCAAGCCGTCCAAATTCGTCGACGTTTCAAGTAGTAACAGTGCGGTCACCGCTGTTTCTCCGCCCCAGCAGCAAAGAAGGAGGAGCCTACTTGGCAGCCTCGGCAGCATGCGCGACCTAGTGGAACAGGTGAACGACGCACGTGCTTCGCTAGGCTATGTGTTGCCCTGGTCGCGTTGCTTCTTCGTGCCCATACTGCTTTGTTCTTGATGTTGTGTGAGAGGGCCAGCGGCTCTTTCGACACAGCTACACGAGCGCAGCAGACCGCATCTTCTGGCCGAAGTCAGCTTGTGTTGTTTTCTCTCGATGTCATGGAATCTTGGGCGCGTTTGTCTCATTTCATCCCTTAATTTGCTACCACATGGAGCGAGTTACAGCCTCAGAAAACAAGGAAAAGTGTAAGCGCTCTATACCCTCGCGCTTCATCGATGGTATGTTGGTGCAGACTTGCCCATCATCCCATGAAGTGTCCAACACACGCTCGGGACCGTTCCTGCGCATTTGCATACGTACAATGGTTTAAAACTGCCGGTCGCCCTGTCGTGGTCTGATTGGTTCATTTAAGTGAAAAAAAAAAAATGGTTTTAACCTGCTGCGGTGCTGCGGTGCGCTGTCCACGAGTTCTTCCGCACCGATCAGCGGCCTCGGGCATAGATTCACGTGCGTGCCCACGCGGCACGTACGCGTGACAAGAGAGATGCGCACGTACGTGGTAATCGCAGAGGAGTTCAGAGGAGTTCGTTTGAAAACGCACATCTCAGAAAACAGTCAATGTTTCCCCGCCGACCGACGCCCTCAGACCTCTCTCTCATCAGAGAGGGCGAGACAAACGAAGGGTGTGGCGGCGTCCATAGGGGACAACTAAAACTCCCAGATTCGTGATGCCTACGATAGGCCTCGCTTTCGTGCCCCCCCCCCCCTGCCATCAGGGTTGGGTTTTCATCGCTTGGCAACGACGTTGTAAAACAAGCCGCCCCCCTCGGTGTTTGCCATCGGGATTGGGTTTTCGTCGCTTGGCAACGACGTCGTAAAACAAGC